AATGGGAAAATATTTTTAACAAGAAAATGGAAGGAAAAGAGTTAAATCAGCAGAAATTCAACATTTAAAATTTGACAGTTTTAGTGAAAACATCTTCAAAATGTATAGATTAATTTTAGTAGTTAAATAAAGAACCTGAGTGGATTGAATGAAAGGGGGGGTCCTGGCATCTCCCCCCTGGAAGACCCCCCCGGACTCACTACTCCGGCCAATCACACGCCGTGTCTTGTCTGCCCTGTAGCTGGCCACCCTGTAGGCCTCTCGGCAGAAGTGATCCATGGCGGCCCTCTCGTACTGCAGGAGGTCCTGGCGGCGGTTCCACTGGTCAACATCCCCCTGCCCGAACTCGGTGACAGCCACGAACTTCCCAACGTTACTGTCAAAGCGGGCAGTCTCCTGCCTGTCGTAGATGTACCTGAACAGGAACCGCACCTGCTGCGTCCCGTTGAAGAAGTGGCAGTTGCACTTCTGCTGGTGCAAGAAATGGGCTGCGAGGAGGAAGAGGAGGAGGAGGAGGAGGAAGGACATCAGGTGGCACTCCAGGGCCCATCGCTCCCAACTGCCAGCAGAGGAGGGACCCATGCAGGAGGGGGGAGGGGGAGATCTGCTGTGGGAGACTGAGGGGTGGCCTTTGGCGGGACCATTTCTCAGCCCCCCTCCACTCCAGCTCTGATGACTTCCTTCGGCAGCAGTGGCCAACCCCGCAGGGCTGTCGCTCCCTCAAGACTCCTCCTGGAGGAGGGAGGGGGAGGTTAGTCAGTCCCAGTGGGGCTCCCTGGGGAGATGGAGAGTTGCTGGGGGTCTGGCGGGGGAGGAAAGAGGAGGAGGGGGAGGAGCTTCCTGGTGGGCCCCCCCATCCTCCCATCCTGGAGAAAGGCAGGCAGAAGCTCAACTGGTGCAGCAGAATGCCCTACTCTCTGCAGGGAATGTTGGATCTAGGTGGGGCCTCTTTGCCCCCCAAAGCGGCAGGGAATATGGGGGAGGTGGGTGAAGAGACCCAGAAACTCTCCGGGCTGCAGTGAAAGTGAGATCCATACTTCGGTCTCCCTCTTCCTTGGGGGAGGATATGGGGAGGGGGCACAATGAAGGTGTCTGGACCGATGATCCTGGGATCTCCCAGCCCTTCCCTCGCCTGAAGCCCCCACCTTCCCTGCTTTCCCCAAACTTCTCTTCTCCCCCCAAGATTCAGCCCTCCTACCTGCCTTTCCTCAAGACCCCTCAGGAGCAACTCAAAGGGGGGGTCTCCAGCTGCCTCCCCCCACATCCTTCCTCCTCAGTCCCCCCCCATGGTTCCCCCATCCCCTCCAGTCACTGACTCCGCTATGAGGAATTGTGTGGGGGGGGGCTGGGTCTCCTTTCCTAATTTAGAGGCTCCCCCAACAAGGGAATTCAACTCTTGCCTGACCTTAAAAGCCTCTAAGTGGAGATTCGTAAGAAAAACTGAAGTTCGGGGCCAGAAGGTCCGACTCTGACCCCGGGCCGCCTGCCTTCCCAAGACCCCCTCCCCACCT